AACGGTCTAGGAGGAGTTCGAAAAAGTAGGTTTTCAACATGAATCAAAATGGCGGACAGGAAGTTCAGCCAATTATGGCAACATTGGTATCGATGTTCTCATCATGATGCAAGGAATCTATGTATATCAGTCTCATTACAATATTATAATGTATGCAAAAGTTATTAGCATTTTTATAAATTGCTTTATAACTTTTGTATTCCAAACTTTTTGAGTATCATCAGGGCATGGTGCCGAAGATGCATACCAATTTTCAAAGTGGCATCAACCAGACAGTCAGGTTCTTCTGTGAGCTTGTAGGATGGCTTCGTTCACTCTACAGTGAGCATTCTGAAGGACGTCCAGTGAGGGATCATCTGGTAAAATTAGCCGTAATATCTTTAGTAATCTGAAAGTAATCCAAGCAATAAAGAACATTGTAGTCGGGTAATCTTGTAGGGTGTGTCTAAGTTCAAAACAAATCTTTCTTGAGGAAATGCAAAAGCTCAGAGGGAGTTATGCAAAGGCCTGTTAAGGCCTGCAGCAATGAATGCAAATCACAGGTGTTTGTCATTTGTGTGACAGAAGAACACTGTGATGTGCTGCCATCAGGACGAGGAGATTTACAACCAAAACCCTTCAATAAAAGCAGCTATTTCTGCTGGTAGCAGAGTGTGATGTTTTTAGCGGGTTGTTTTGTTCTGTTTTTCCTGTCTGGATGTCTAAAAAACAGAAATATGTCACCTCACACAGAACACACCAAAATGATTTGATTACAGCGCCACCTGTTGGTCAAAAGTGATAAGCCATTTAATCATATTACTAGTGGTTGTATTTATGATTTTTCAGCCATTTCAATTACAATCATCCTAAAATTGCTTTTATTACTCATTGTTGCATTTGGTCTGATGCTCCATGCCATGCTTAGCTCCTCATTTTGCCTCTGGAGTGCTTGGCCCCGTGATTGCTGCTTGCAGCTATATTTTATATATAATTTATTTTTGCTATTTTATCCTGTACACTTTATAAATATGATGTATTATGAGTAAAATATAAAATCATTAAAAATGTAACAAAACAAACAATTTAAATCAAATAGGAACACAAGTCTTGGTCCACTAGAGGCAGTGGTCAGCCTCAGCGCGCGATGCTCGGAGGAAAGAAGAAGAGCGCGTGCAGTGTTACTGCTTATAATTGTTACTACTGTTAATAATTGTGCTGATGGATATCGGGGAGGACAGAGTGATCGCGCTGGTGGACATGGATTGCTTCTATGTGCAAGTGGAGCAAAGAATCAATCCCGAGCTCAAAAACAAGCCCTGCGTTGTTGCGCAATACAAGACATGGAAAGGCGGAGGGTGAGACACGTAACGTTACAGAATGACATTGCCTTTTATTTATTAGAGAGGCTTACAGGCACACATTTATTGTAGAGCACTAAATCTGGCCTAGATTGCACGGAGAATGACGTTCTGTTGATGTTGACTGTAAAAATATTTACAGATATATGTATATTTTCAATGCTTTCTCTTGAAATGCCATTCTTAAGTTAGCATTACCTCAACATGCACTAAAAAAAATGCCACAGTAAACAACCTGAAAGTGAATTTTCATTGCGGTTATTCATAGCTCATTTGTTTTGAGTCTCAAGAGTCCGCAGAATTAAGCATAATGTGACTTATTCATGTCTGATTGCTAGCACTGTCATTTGGTAATTGTGCTTAAATATCAAGAAAATGGTCGTGATGATTAAAACTGGGTTCCTTTGCTTTATTAAAAATGAGCTGGATCTGTGTCCTGAAACGGAAGATGTGTTTTGTTAGCATTATAGCAGTGAGTTATGAGGCCAGAGCTCATGGGGTCAGCAGGAACATGTGGGCGGATGATGCCAGGAAGCTGTGTCCTGATCTACAGGTGGCCCGAGTCAGAGAGGCTCATGGGAAGGCTGACCTCACCCCGTAAGTGTGCATTTCTCCTTCCTATTACGCTGTTCAGTCCCAACGTAGGGCGTGCAAAATGAGGAAAAGAGACACTTTTAAAATGCACGTGTCACGTTGGAAATGCAATCTTTCTATTCATGCTGGTTTCATGCATTTGTGACTGTTACGACAGTCGTTTTTGACTTGATGACTAATCCTCCTAACATGTCTTTCATAGGTGTATTCAGATCACTAAAGGAATCAAAAATGAACATTTGCTGAAAATGTGTTCACCATCAGGCCATCCGAGATGTAGATGAGATTGTTTCTTCATCAGATTTGGAGAAATATAGCATTGCATCACTCGCTCAAGAAGTGAATGGGTGCCGTCAGAATGAGAGTCCAAACAGCTGATAAAACATCACAATAATCCACACCACTCCAGTCCATCAGTTAACGTCTCGTGAAGACAAAAGCTGCGTGTTTGTAAGAAACGAATCCATCGTTAACTTGAATCGGCTAAAATATGACTATAATCCATAATAACGCTCTCACATCAAAATCCACCTGCAATTTTGTTTACAGCTGTTTTGGCGTGATCTGTGCATATTTCTCTCCTGATTCAGATGAGACGACCTTTTCACTGGAGAAAGCAATATTATGGATAGAGGACTCGTCTTAATGATGGCTTTGTTTCAGCTTTTGGCTTCACAAGACGTTAGCTGATGGACTGGAGTGGTGTGAATTACTTGTTGTGGGTTATTGTGATGTTTTTAATCAGCTCTCATTCTGACAGCACCCATTCACTGCAGAGCATCCATTGCTGAGACAGTGATGCAATGCTACATTTCTCACATTTTCAGCAAATGTTCATTTTTGAGTGTACTGTTCCTTTAATCGCATTGGTTTCTTGGGTTGAATTAGATCGTCGCAATCTGACAGGGTTTCTGTGCACAGTTACAGGGAGGCCAGTGTGGAGGTGATCGAGGTGATGTCTCGCTTCGCTGTCATAGAGAGAGCCAGCATCGATGAGGCATACATGGACCTCACCGGCAGCGTGCAGGACAGACTGAAGCACATGAGCGTCCAGGACATTACGCCGCAGCAGCTGAAAAGCACCTACACTCAAGGCTTTCCACAGACCAGCACCAGTGATCCGAGTGAGGACGCAGCGATAGATAAAGGTGTGTGGCAGCAGATCCCTTGTTATTTCCATTGGAAAGGCTCGAGCGTTCGAGCGGTGTGTTGGTGTCTGTGCAGAGGAGCGGCGGCTCCGGGGCCTGCAGCAGTGGCTGGAGCGTCTGTCCTCCAGCGGTCAGTCCTCGCGTGCGGAGCTGTGCTTGACGGTCGGCGCTCTGATCGTGGAGGAGATGAGGGCCGCTGTGGAGGAACACACTGGATTCCGCTGCTCCGCCGGCATCTCGCACAACAAGGTCTGCTGTATGGAAACATTTCACTTCTCATTCAGATGATCTGGTCAGCGCTGAATAGCAGTAACTAGGACACAGACTTCTCTCTTCAGTTCTGATGCACAAACCTTTGATTCGATTCAGATCTCAGTTAGATTCGATATCAGTTCATGGATATATATCAGGTACAAAATGCCAAGTGTCAACTCGGTCCAAATGTTCAAATCCTATTGTAATTCATTTTTAGATATAAAAATCAACACTCAAAAAAGAGTTGTTTACTAAAGCAATAAGCCCTGTGAAGCTGTGATTTACAGTGAATTTATAACAGCTAAGGGGCGTTGTTAAAAACCCACTTAGCTGTTATAAATTCACTGTAAACCACGGCTTCACGGGGCTTACTGCTTTTATAAAGCGGTTAGGGATGTTCATTTTAACCGGTTAATAGGCTTGCCGCGGTTCCACATTATTTGCTGATTTTTACTTTATTTAAACTTTGTGTCATTTATTTATTTTATTTGACAGCAAGGTATATGCTGTGCCTCCAAGCTTTCTTACTCGTTTTGCTAATAAACGGTCTACATTTCTTATTTATTTGGTTATATATTATACGTTTACTTAGCCTATTTCCAGTTTTGTATACCTATTTAAACTTTACGTAAGTTATTTGTTATTTTATATTAGGCATAGCCTGCCCTTTAGCATGGTGTATTTTTTTGTTTTGTTAATAAAAGTTCTATGTTTTATATATAGTATAAAGTGAGTTTGATGTTGTATTTTGTTGTTGCATTCAAGCAATTGACGCTGAACTGCCACTAATTCAAACGTGAAAGTAAAATGCGCACAGCGCTTTTAAGCTATTTAAAAGCGAAGGAAAGCGAGGAAAAGAGGGAACG